TAAATAAAAAAATTTTCATCGAATTTAGTCAGGTGGTTATCGAGAAAATTGTGCTCAAGTTTTAAAAATTTTCAGAAACACTTTATTTACTGATAGATGGGCAGATCCTAAACTTTGAGTGAAGTTTTCTCAATAACCACCTGACCAAATTCGATCAATTTTTTTTTTTTAATTTAATTATACACATTCGTAGAATTACAGTAATATAAAAAAATTTTATCGAATTTTGTCAGACGCTTATCGCTCAAAGTTTTAAAAAAATCAGAAGCACTTAATTTACTAACAGACGGAACAGATTATTTCTAAACTTTGAGCGAAGTTTCCTCGACACACACCTGAACAATTTTTGTTTGTTTTTATCCTACGAATGTGTAGGATTAAATAAAAAAAAATTTCATCGAATTTTGTCAGGTAGGCATCGAGAAAACTTCACTCAAAGTTTTAAAAAATTCAAAAGCACTTAATTTACTAAGACAAAACAGATTCTTTCTAAATTTTGAGAGAGGTTTTCTCGACATACACCTTACAAAATTCGATAAATTTTTTTAATTACACGAATATGTAGAATTAAAATAAAAAAATTTTATTGAATTTGGTCAGGTATTTATCGAGAAACTTTGCTCAAAATCTTAAAAACATGCAAGAAATTGTTTACGCGTATCTTAACCCAGGATGGATTTTGATTAGTCGGGTATGTTTAGATCGTCAGGCAGCATGGATATTCAGTAAATAGATGCAATGCAACTGTTAAGTTTTTAGCACGTTCTTTTTTCATGATGAATGAACCGAGTAATACCCGTTTTTTTTGGTCTAGCAGTAGATTTAATGTTGTGCTTACTGAGTTGGTTTAAAGTTCAGCTTCTATTTTATACATTTCTTCTCTTGCATACATCTTAATATATAAAATATTTCTGATTGAAACTTTGGTAGCGAATTTATTTGTGCATGAAATTTTATTTGGCAAAATTTTTCCCAGCAAAAAAGGAGTGATGATGATATGGTATTAAAAGGTATGGAAAATTTTTTTGATTACTAATGCAAGTTAAAAACATGAACTTTGAAGTTGAAGAATTTGTTGATATCGAAGGAGAGTCGTCGGTGGAGAAAGGAAGAAGATTCGAGTTGTTCTGCATTATGTTTATAGAAAGAATTTTAGCGCCCTTAGGAGTTATAGTTGTACATACAGGGTAAGCTTTCTTATTGAGTTATATGTTGAATCATTATGTATCCAAAGGTACGCTGTCACATCGGTGTAAATCATCTGGGAATCGAAAGCACATCGGGCCACATTTAATTATGTAAACGTTCTTCCCAGTTACTGATGATCCCGCTGAAGCTTTTGAACCGGGGATTTAATGATGAATAGGATACATGTTGCTTGACTATATATGATGATGATGCATGCACTCATCTTAATTATTAATTTAGAAAGCCGGGTGACAAAGGGAGAGATATTATTTGCGAAGTTTATGGATTTACATTCATAATCCAATGTAAGGCTTGGAAATAGAAAAATATAGGCGTGTTAATATCTATATTGACCTACTTTAACAATCTTTAACTAATCGATAATCATTTATTAGATCGGTCGCATGTGGACGAATTGGATACGAGAAATCCCAACTTACTTAAGGCTGCAAAAACAGCGGCAACCAAAGTCATGGAGACCATAAACGTCAGCAAGGTCCTTGAATTTATGGATGTAAGTTTTAATAATTACGGTTTTTTAAAATCTTAGTATTTTATATTACATTATACTAGGTGATAAGAAGGACACAGTAAATAAGAAAGGGAGGTTTTCGTTTGGAATATTGGTGGGTGTTGATGTTCGTAGAATTTCGGATGATGCGATATAACGATACGATAAATATAAATTTTAATGATTATCAATCCGTCTTTACCATTACTTTTTTCCTTTTATTCAAAACTTCGAACTGGATGATAGGACTAGATCGTCAGAATGCGATATTGGTGCTGTAACTTATTATGATATGTGTAAAAAAAGTTTGGCTAGTCTCACATCGATTAACCGAACAAGCTCTAGTATTAGAAAACAGAAAGAGAATTTAAATTAGATTATATAAATCGTTTACTATTACTTTTGTATTTTTACATTATGTATCTTTAGCATATAGAAATTTATTTAATTAACACTACTATTGCTTTCTGACGTTCTATCCATTGTATATAGTTTTTTTTTCTCTTTCTTCTTTTTTCTCTTTGTTCTTTTTCTCTTTCTTTTTCTTCTCTTTTTCTTTCTTTCTATCAATAAAAGAATTTTTCTACTAATTCATAAATATTTTGTCACAAATTTTATATAAAACATCCGTAAAGATAATGATCTATTTTAATTTTCTATTTGTAAATTCGAATTAATTATATCGATTCAATTAATCGATTAATCAATTATTGCGGTTTGCAAAAATATGTGATTGCCAATTTCTTTAACATTACTTCTGGTGACGTATGTATATCAATACTTAGACTTATCGTTATATATATAATATATTTATTTAACATGTTTTTTAAAAAAAAAAACATTTATTATTACAAAAATTATTATCCTGGAACATGCTTTGGATGCACAAAGTGTCTACTTCTAAAATTTATTGTAATGTAATGAAATATATATATATATTCCAATAAAAAAAATATACTAAAGTTCCTTATGTTTTTACTTTGAAATTCCAGGATTCTATCAGTAATAAAAAATTAATCTAGTATATAAGATCGAATTTGGCGCAACTTTAAACTCAGTTAACTGATTGGTCAATTAATCAACGCGGATTTTACATAAATTAACCAATCAACGCGGATTCTACTCACGAGCTTCACCCTGTCATAATATTATTTGATAGAGAACAAGAGTGGAATAAAATGATAGAAAAAGTTTTATGGTATTGCTTGTCACAACCGGAGTCAGGTGACAACACCCAATGTCAGTAGTTATCTGAAAAAAAAAATACTTGAAATAAAACATAGCATTCACAATTTTTACTAATTTTCTAGATATCACAACTATAAGATCCGGAATACAGGCACTATCTAATTTTATAACGGGGAACAAATTAATTCAAGAATTTGTTTGGTCTGATTTTATGTGTAGAAATGAATCCAATGATCTTTTAAGGTGAAAATTTGAATAAATTATTATATGTTTAAGAACTGTGATGTATTATATCGATTATATCAATTTTTAGCAAACTTGCTGGTCACAATGATAGCACTGTTTTGACTGGCTGCCTGGTTTTAATCCACAATTGCATATTTGAAAGCGAATCTCGCAGGTATTTTTTCGATGATCGATTCAATGAAATATTTCAAGGATATGCGATATTCGGTTGATATTTGTTTTAATTAGAAAGTCTTTAGTGACATCGGGTTCGGGGACACGTATTTTGCAAATACTTTTAGACAGAGCCGAGACGCTCCTTGAGGATGAAAGTACACAGAACTTTGAGCTAATGTATGAATTGGCTTTTTTCTTTATTCGGAAATATAATTTTACCTAAGAGAAGTTTCATAAAACACCATTTATCGTGATATAGATATGCTATTTTCGCTCGAATAACAGAGTCTGATCTTTTTCCATTATTATTTGATTCATTGAACTTATCATCATCAGGGTATAGTATATCTATAGAATAGCGCGTCATTTTATAAGTTATTTCTATATTAATACTTTTTAATTTTAGGCAATCGTTAACAAGACGTCAAATCACTCTCCTCAAACTCCTTGATTCCAACCTTTTTTCTTCAGATTCTATAGACATTTCTCTTCCTACATGCATTTATCTTTTACAAATTTTCGATACAATATGTCCGCAGGTGATTTTTTCAATGCAACAAGTCGGTATCATCGATCGAGAAAATCAACCACAAGTAGTTGAAGATACCGTTATATTATATACTGGATTAGTATTATTATTACAATGTTTTGGAAAATTAAGTCAAGATGAAAACGATAAAATACGAGAATGCCTATTTAAGGGGGGAATAATCGCATCAAGTATTTGTAAGGTTTACAATAAGGCTTTATTTTTTTTTTTTCTCATAGCTATATGATTAATTCATACTCGATATAGCTCTTTTGGATCAAGCTGATAAAACATTTCCACGTGCAACCAAAGCTATGTTGTCGCCTTTACAACAAGGAATCTCGGAATTCGCATATATAAAAAGAGATATTATTAAAGTGATTGGAAACATGGCATATAATAATAGCTTCGTTCAAGATGAGGTTTTATTTTACCAACGATAAAAAATTATATAAATATAAATATTCAGGCTAACATAATTATTTTTTTTTAGGTGCGCAGGTTAGGAGGCATTCCATTAATTCTGAACCAATGCAATATTGATGATAATAATCCATGTAAGTAATGAAATAATTGAATATTTACAAATTATGAAAACTGGCCTGAAACTTTCAATTTTCAGATATTCGTGAACACGCTATATTCGCACTTCGTAATTTGTTGATCAACAATTCTGAAAACCAAAAACTTGTTAAAGAACTTGAACCAATTGCACCAGTTCAAACTGATGTTTTAAGTGAGATCGGCATTAGAGCTGAATTAGAAGATGGTGGTAAAATAAAGTTAACAACTGATTCCAATAAAATGTAAATGTATACTGCTATTAATCTTGCAGTAGTCATTGAAATATAAAATATTTATTAAAGTTGATCATATAAATGTTGTAATCAATTTCACGTATCAAATAGAAATTATCATTGTCCATCACTGTTCAAATGTTCCTCTAAATGTTTCTTTAGTGTTGGAATATTTTTAATTTCTTTCGTATTGCATAAATGGCAATTCAAGGGTGATTTTAGTAAACTTTGGTAATAAGCTTTATCGAACTATTATTAAAATATAATATATAGTGAATAATTAAATAACATTACTTACGAAAGTAAATATTTTCCTAAACAAACCTTAATTTGTCCTTTTTCTTTCAGCAACATTTCTATTTCTTCAATATCCTTAAAGAACGAGGTTGTAAATGAATTCCAATGTTTTTTACTCGATAATGTCTCAGAAATAAAATCTTGCGATATCACATGCATATGAAGTTGTCTTTTATGATCAAAAATATATATTATATATATTAGATTTATCTATCAACAAATAAATAAATAAATAAAATAACAACCTTAAACTAGGAAGCACATGAAAACCCATACGGAACACCAATTTCGGATCATTTTCTTTAAAACTATCAGCGATATATGGATTATTTGTAATAACAATAATAAATGTTTTGATCATTAATTAACACTTACTGATCGATAACCTGTTGCCCTTTTTGTTTCAAAATTTCAATCAAGTTTAGATCTTGTTTTTCTAATTCTTGAAGAGTATCAATTTTCTGTCTTGGCATTACTAAAAGGTGTATTTTTGCTTTTGGATATTTATCCCAAATAATGACAACATTGTCATCATAAGAATATACTTCTCTGTTGGAAAAAGTCTCTGGGTGCTCGCAGTACGGTAAGAGTACGGTTGACCAGGATCCTATATGCGTTGATGACGATTTTTTTTTAGGCTTGGACGTTGAAAAAGTGTTACGCGCAAAATCCATCATCACATCAACTATAGTAAATATATAAAATAACATTAAAAGTATATCGAAAAGAATATATCCTAAATAAAATTAGAATAATTAGTAGTGCTCCTCAATGATCCGGATCTTTAAAAATACAAGTCCATCCGATCCGATCCGATCCACGCGGAACACTAATTGTTAAATTCAATTAATTCTTACAAGCAGATTTCTCCTGTGATTGTTGTTCTTTTGGAATATATTGTTGACCATTTTTTAATGCCCAAAAGGCGTTCAACATCGATTGGTACGATTCTTTAAGGGCATTTTTGGCAACTTCGAGAGAGACTGGGTCTGGTCGAGAAGGGTTCATATTAGGAGAAATTATATATATGATCTATTCGCATTTTTACATATCAGAGATGATGAGAATTTAATTCATGACATGGTCCTTATAAGAAATTATTTGTTCGTATAATAAATTTAGCAGTATAACCTGTTTTACACCTTTTTTCCAAAATTCATTGTCTGGAGGTATAGGTACGGGGTATGCTTCACCGATCTAAATATACGTAAAAAAAAAAAAAAATTTAAAAATTATTATGTATATATATCTAAATTATGTATTTAATTACTTACTGCTCCCGGCTTTGGATATAATCGTTTTATCTCTTCAAATAATTTTGACCCTATAGCTTCGTATAAACTTTTACTCAAAGGTGTCGTATCTGAACAAAAAAAAAATGTTAACTCGATAATTCAGTATTTAAGCAATAATGCTAATCATGCACACCTGGTTTTAACCTCCATGTTGATTCATTTACTATGTATCTATAAAAAATAATTACAATGTATATATCTATAAAAAATATATACATCAAAAGATCAGACAAAGATCTTAAATCGTACCCTATCTTATTTTCAATTATTATTTCAGCAAAATTTCCAAGTTTCATTTGAAATCTTGATTCTTCACTGTCTCTAAATTTCTCCCATTCCTAAATTGCGATTTTTAAATGTTCGAATTATAATCTGATACAAAGGAGAAAAAAAAAAAAAAAAAAGACTAAATTCTTACCGATTCAAAAACATTTAAATTTTGATCATCTTGGTCGATTAGGATCAATTGAAAGTCTAAATCATTTTTATGAGAATTTAAAAATTCTTTTATAACCTTTGGTTTTAAATTCGAGTAATATGAAATCAGTCAAATTTCGATTAATACATATACGTAGAATTTATTTTTTTATCATTACTAACTTCACAAGCAATATTTGCAGCTTCTTCGATTGGTATTTGTCCGATAGATGTAGAGAGTGAAGGAAACCCAAGTTTGATCATATTATCGTTTGATTTTTTAGCATTAGAAATTCACAGTTTTACTGTATTTAGTATATTGGTTTTACGAAAAATGGACAAGTACAAAAAAGGTACAACAAAGTCACAAAGGAAAATTCCGTTACAAAGCTTTTATTTTAGAAACATTATTTTTAAAGTTCGTCTCTGCGCCATATTTCTCAATTTTATACTCACTCATTCAAATTGAGTTAAGAAAAAAAAATGACAAAGCGAACAAATACTACAAGACATGTTAAAAAAGCAGTAATGGAATTGATCACGTGCAAAATCCAAGATTTTTATTCTACATATTTTACTTAACGTTATTAATAAATATATTATATATGTAGAACTAAAAATTATAATTAGTGGATCTATTCTGTAACCGGCTTATTATCATTTTCTTTAGTTTCAGATTCGTCATCTGCCTTCGCTTCTTCATATAATTGGTTTAGTTGTGCCTGGTAACTTAGCGTGCCGTGACCCTCGTTTAGCACATTATCCTTGTTTTTTGACATGGAATTGGCAGTTTCCAAAATGATTTCGAAAATATCAGATTTAAATTCACTACCATCGTCATTTCTGAGTCCACTACTATCAATTTCTTCAATTTGGCCACTCTCATGCATATAATATATTTTAATTCCCTCCTTTTCACCTTCAACTGTTGAATCAGAATCTTCTGATCCGGTCTGTTTCTTTTTTAACTGTGATGCAAGTTTAAATTTATTAGCAATAACTGCCAATTTTTCCACCTTAACTTCTTTTCCTGTTTTAATTTCATTTTCAGCTTTATCGGGCTCATTTTCATTATTTATACTATTAAAGAACAAAAGTAAAAATAAGTGTAATAAATTAGTTCACATGATCAATAATGATGTTCGTTATAAGTTTTAAATAATAGTGATCCTGACCAGTCAAAATTTTACGGCAGGTCAAGCCGATAAATTTTATCGACTTAGTTCAATTGGCCGAAAAATTTTGAAATGAAGACGCTGGTGATTACGTTTGATGAATATCTACTTACGGCAATTTCCGATATTTTACATAGAATTATAATCAACAGATCAGGTCAAAAAATCGATTTACGACCTTTTTTTAACTACTGGCCAGGATCACTAGTCCAAATTGTCCACCTTTAACGTCAACTCGCGCATCCCAGTCATAATAAATATTCATTCCTACGCACGATTCACTAAAAACTTGTATTATTTAGATAAACCTGGTCGGACACTGTACCTCGGCTCCATTTCTTGAGGACTATCCAAACTTTTTGGTTCTTTCGCCAAATTACGCTCATATTTTTCCTATATAAATGATCTAGATTAATAATAATCTATTTAAAAATAACAATTGATACAACTTTTAATGGCTCACATACATCAGATACTATACGATGACATTCTATCTGATTAACTTTGAAGGATGATTTGCTAAGAAATGCAGCATCCTGACATAGTCGTGGTGTATGAATAATCATTAAGTAATGACAAGTGTACATTTCCTTTACTACAGCGATGCTATCACCAGGTTGCGGATTGCAATGAAACTAGGTTTTACATTGGATACATGATAGACAGTTTTCAGCAAAAGAATAAGGGAAATGAAAACTTTGAATAATAATCGTCATCATAACATACTTGGATTTCAACTTGTCTAGGTTTACCCGTTAAGTCACATGTAGATCCGCCGCCCCAACGTTGAACCAAATATTTTTTACCTCTGCCAACTTGTAAATCTGTACCTAGGGAATGTTTTTGATCTTCACTATCCTTATTCGAAGGTGGTAACGTAGCGATACGAGAATCATATTCTCCCAAAATAAATGAAGGTTTTTGATCATCAAGTCCGGGTTGTAAATGATATTGACGAATTTTTCTGTAGATAAATAATATATGTATATATATAAATCACTAAGCTTCAAAATTCTAATAATGTCATTATCTATTCACCTAAGATGGCAGTATTCGTAAGTCCACCATCCATGTTGCTAAATATTTAAATTTTGGTTAAACGATTATTGACATGATTAATGAATCAAATGCCGAATTTTAATAATATTACATACATGAATAAGACAGGTTTGTTGTTTCATAGGTTCTAAAAGAGCAAGGCCTTTCTTCATAAGATCAACATCATCCTTATTTTCTTCTGATTTATTTTCTTCTATAGCAGTTTGGTTGGCAACGTAAGGTATCTGGCAGAGATAAGGCTGTCCAGAAGCCGAACGCATCAATATTGAAGTTAATTTAGTTTCATCACCTTCGTCAGAGGTATCTTTAGATACTGATGGGACTATGCTATTTTCCTGAAGAATCAAGAAAAAAATAAATATATTTTCGCTATTATATAGCTAAAGCAGAAATCTAAACTAACCGAATGTACTTCGTCAAATACAAAATTTTCAAGACTACTGTTCGGAATTTGGTTTTGAGAAAGGACTATTTTGTATTGAGGATGTGCCACGAGATCTTCATACACCCATGATATAGAGTATGCTTTTGCTAAATGTTTTGTGAGCAAAAGAGTCAAAGTACCTAAAATTATGTAAGTTATTTGATTTCTTATTTTTAAACATGTCATGATAAATAAATTTCAGACTTATGAATTCGCGATATTCATCGCTTTTATATAGTACGTGTTTCATTACACGTGGCACGTTTTCTTTCAGCTTTAGAAATTCTTCTGATTGGTCAATTTTTATGAATCTACCCGTGATAATTAACCATAATTTTTAAAAGATCTAAGAAACAAAAAAAGAAACTTGTAAATTACAGAATTAATGAATATACAGAAGAATTAATTCTTATTCAAATTAAATAATTTCTAACCCTAATCTTTAAATATTGACAATTACTACGTATAACAGATAAAAAAAAAATATGGTATTGAGCAGTGTTAGAGATTTAATGTTCTCGAAAATATTTAAAAATTTAGAAACACTAGATTTAGAATTTACTGTATATATGTTATAATCTATGTTTCTATAGAGCGTTTTTTTTAGCTGTGGCGTAGCATGCTGCCTTTTTTTTTTAGCTATAGTGCGATATACTCTTTCTTTTTTATACGTATAAGAAAGAGAGATAGAAAGAGAATATACTATATTTATTATTTTACTATATTATTAGAAATATTAAAATTTTTTTAAAAATATAAATTTAATAATTTATGTATTCAAAAACAAAAAAAAAACTTCAAATCTTTTTTACTGGTGTTTTACTACAGAATATTCAAAAGATAATTTTATTAAAAAATACTATAGTATACATACAGGGTTGTAAATAAACAAAAAACAGTCTAACCAGTGTTTAAAATTCAAATTTAAAATTATGTTCTTATAAGAGCTTAATTTAAATTATTAGTATTCTTAAAAAATTTTTAAAGTTCTCCTAAAGAGTTGAATTAATTCGAATAAGCTAAATTAAAACTTCAACTCCCTTGAATCAAATTATTTAAATTATAATTATTGTAGCATTAATTTTATAAATTAATTTTTAAATAACTAAATTAAACAGTACATAATTACAAATAAAATGCAACACCTCTCTAAATGCACGTCTTCTTTTGGGCCAAACTAATATTACATCTATAGATTTTTATCTTCCTAAATGCAATATCTCTCTAAATGGTCTGGCTGTATCACTAATTTATCAGATTGAATTATTGTATATTAAATATTTTTTGAAAATATTTTAAAGTAATAAAATGTTTTCAAATAAGAAAGCCTTATTTTAAATATCAATGTTCTTAAAAAAAAAGTTATGTTCTTTGAGAACTATGAGAACACTAAATTTTAAACACTAACAGTGTTCAATTAAGTTATTAAACAATAGACAAATAGATTAATTTAATCTGTATTAGACAATTAGACAAAAATATTTTACATTTTTGCTATACAGTATGCTGTATACTGTTTTGAGTTAATAGAAACCAAGCAAATATTTTTTAATAAGTTTTTTAAAAACTTTAAACAAGAATAACTTAACAAAAACTTAATCAAATTTAATAAATTATTTTTTAAATTAATTTTACAAGTTTGTAAAAATTATTTTTATTAAATTTGATCAAGGTTTAAAGTTATAAAAATTTTTATTATAAAAAATTTGCTTGATTTCTATTGACTCACTACTACATATTTCGATCAACTACAATATGTAATTGATCAATGTCGTGATTATCACTTATCCAATTATGAAATTCTTTTTTAAATCTTAATATCAAAAAATAATAAA